CCCCCCCCCCGCCCTTCTCTCTCTCTCCACATCGGTCCAATTCTAAACGAAGTTCCGGAGAACTACCAGCAATATGACGACCGGGTCGTATACCTCTCCGAGTTTTCTGTTCCCGAGCTTCTTTACCCCATCCTGATGAGTGGAGGCTGGTGGAAGAGGGGCAGGCCTGTGAGTGGAGTGGGATAAGGACTTGGAGTCACGTTGTCGCCCTCAGGGGATTCATCTGACCGCAATTACGGCCGGCCCTGGATGTATCGGGCAGCAATTATGTCCATAAGAGAAGTCCAAAGATCCTAGTGCGCGTACGCTCTCAGGGCGTACTCATACTAGCTTTATCTCAAATGTATCTGACCGCGTTTACGGCCAGACCTGGATGCATCTGGCTGCACTCACCTCCATAAACAAGTAAGAAAGTCCCAGTGTGAGCACGCTCTCAGAAGCACACAACAAAGACGCACACGACAATCACTTAGTCGTTGTCAGGACCCACTTAGTGTACAAAAGGAGAAAAAGATAAACAAGGGAAAAGAAAACAAAGAATAGAAGAATGACAAGTACACTGTTTCCTCCCTTTTTTCTCTGTTTTTAAAAGTTTTTTTTTGTTTTTTTTTGTTTTTTACCCCTTCCCTTTCTCAACCACCACCAAAAGTCCTTTTTCCGAAGCACGACCGATGGTAAACTGAAGGTTCTGGACGTATACAGTCACCCGTCTTGTCCATGTTCAGCGGCAAATCCCAACCACAACCAAATGTCCTTTCTGAAGCACCATAATCCGGACTTCCTTACCCTCGGTGGCAAAAGTGCAGGTTCCAGATGTATACAGTCACTGGGCTTGACCACATTCGCCATATCCCAACCGGCACCAAATGTGCTTTCCGAAGCACCATAATCGAGACCACCTTCCCACTGATGGTAAACTGCAGGTTCCGGACGTATACAGTCACTGGGTTCGACCACGTTCGGTGTCATATCCCGACCACCATTAAATGTCCTTTCCAAAGGACCACAATCCAGACCTCCTTACCACCCAGTTAACTGCAGGTTCCGGACGTATTGAGTCACCGGGCGTGATCATGCTCAGCGCCACATACCAATCACCGGCAAATGTCCTTTCTGAAGACCATAATCCAGACCTCCGTCCCACTCACAGTGAACTGCAGATTCCAGACGTAAGCGGTCGCGGGGCTCGACCGTGTTCAGCGCCATATCCCGACCACGACGAAGTGCCCTTTCTGAAGCACCGTAATCCACACCTCCTTCCCACCCACAGTAAACTCAGCTTCTGCAAGGTATCCGCTCCCCGGGCTTGACAACATTCAACCCCATTGGGCGGCAGGCGTCAATAAGCAGTCCGCTTTTCAATTTTCTTCTTTTTCGTTTTCGCAGTGTGGGCAGCCTGTGTCGTTTTGCTTCCGCGGTGTGGGCAGCCTGTCGTCTCGCTTGCAATTTTTTTTGTTTTCAGCCGTCGTCATCGTGGCGCGGCCCGTCGTTTCGTTTTCAATGTTTCCCCCCATTGGGCGGCAGCTTCCACACCTCCATCCCAGTGGCAGTAGGCTGCAGCAGGTTTTGAGCGTATGTCACAATGGAGCTTAACAGTGTTCGCATGACAATCCCTTGGTTGCTGTTGCAGTGGCACCCATTTAGCGTGCGAGCGAGAAAGAAAAAGGGGCCGGTAGTACTTCGTTTCCGACCGGCCACCGAATGTCCTTTCCGAGTGAGGGAGAAGTAACTAGAGAGGAAGGTTGGGAGGGAGTCTCATAAGGAGCAGGACGAGGGGCCTTGGTCGCTGTCGCGGAGGCGCACCCATTTAGCATGCGAGAGAGAAAAAGAAGCCCATACTATTTCGTTTCCGACCGGCCACCGAATGTCCTTTCCGAGCCAGGGAGAAATAACGAGAGAGGAAGAGGTTGGGAGGGAGTCACGTAAGGAGTTGGACCCCCGCACCCCCCCCTCTCTCCCGGAAAAAAAAAAAAAAATCTACCCCCCCCCTTTCCGACCAGAGGTAAACTGCAAGATTTGGATGTATGCAACAATGGGCTTTAGTAGTTTCAGCAGGGGCAGTCGACGCGAGGTGGCTGGCTGGTGCTGCCAGACGCTGCTGAGCGTCCAGCCAGCAGGAGATGCGGCTGTGGCGAGGGGGGAAAGAAAGGGAATAAAAGAGACGAAGCACCGAAGAGGTATCATCGAGACCGACTACCTACCACTCCCACGTCGGTTTCGGCTCGTGCTCACGCTGGCTTTCTGTGAGACCTGGTTCAACCGTACGTGCATGTTGACTGCCGACTCCTCATTGCAAAAGTTGAGCGAATGCAGAACAAAGGTATTCATCAGGTTGATCTTCGCTTTGCCCTGCGGCAGCGACAAGTCGGCAGAAAAAGACGGCGAATGTGGCGATGACTCCGCCATGCCCGCACTCTGACCCAGCTGCTGCTGCATTTGCTCTGAATCTCCCCTCATACCCCCCGGCTTGATCTCCGTGATAATCAACGACTGCCCATCGTGGTCGACATGCAGGACGTCTTCCACAGCCACTTCCCATTTCAGCTGCCAGTCCTGCCCGACCGGAACAGCTGGGGCATTGCCAGCCCGCAACGACACTGCTGCATGATAGTAGCTCCAGCTTCGCACAAAAAGAAGCAACTTCCGCGTCAACACGATGAAGCAACCAGGTTCAGCAGTCGGCATGCAGCCCATCAAGACCTGCACCAGATAGTTACGTTCACCAATGAATGATACACACGCCTTACACACACATTACAAACACATTACACACAAGACTGGGAGTTTGGTCAGGGCTCAAAGCCTCAAGGCTCAAACCCTAGACGCCGCTAGGGCTCGAACCCTTCCTTCTTCCCCCCGAATTCACCGCACTGTCATTATAGCTGTATTAAAGTGTATTTACTATTTAGACTGAAAAAGTTACACCAAATACAGCTATAATGACCGTACGTTCTATTCGGGGGAAGACGGTAGCCATGTTGGATACCATCATAACAGTTTATTTTTGACTCTCGGACCGGTTGACCAAAGCTCCCCGAGACGCTGCTGCCATAGTTTCGCCGTCTTGTCCTCCACAACGGCAGAACGGAAAAAAAAAAGCGGACTAACACACAGAATGTCCTTCGGGACATCCGTTAAAATCGGAAAGATACAGAGAAGATTAGCATGGCCCCTGCGCAAGGATGACACAGAAAAATCGAGAAATGGTCTCAACCAAAAAAAAAAAAAAAAAAAAAAACTGTACCCAATGGGGAGGGGGAAACTGCAGCAAACAACCAACCAAACAAACAGACAGACATGCGTGGATATAGCAAGCTCATTGAGAGGAGCAAAATGTATGTTCACGCAGCGACACACACACAGAGAAGCACAAACTTGTACGCATGCGACAGCCTGCGCAACCAGAGTCCATGTCAACAAACCAGGATACGCTGAGCCAACAACGTGTTGGAAACATGTTCATGGAATATTAGATCGACTAAACGAGGATACACTGAGCCAAGCTGTCGGAAAAGCAGGCATGGAATACGTCGATTGAAAAAACGTGAAATACATTTAGCAAATCCAGATGTACTAACATAGTTGTAGGTTCAAACAAAAAAAAAAAAAAAAAAAAAAAAAAAAAAAAAAAAAAAAAAAAAAGTTGAAAAACAAAAAGAAACATAGCTGGAGGTGCCCAGTACCCAGTCACACACGTCTGAAAATGACAAAATGTATGTTCACCGATTCACATACTCAAAAGCACCATTCTTGTGATTTTCTTCTTCTTCTTCTTCTTCTTCTTCTTCTTCTTCTTCTTCTTCTTCTTCTTCTTCTTCCTTCCTGCTTTCTTCTTCTTCTTCTTCTTCTTCTTCTTCTTCTTCTTTCTCCTTCCTGCTTTCTTCTTCTTCTTCTTCTTTTTTGTGGAGGCAAAGTTTTTTGTGGAGGCAAAGGCAAGACCTACCTCTTCCCTGTAACGCCCGCCATCCAAGTCCCACAAAGCACAGATCCCTATCGCTTCTTCGGCAATGTAAGGTAACAACAACCGATGGAGGCCGATTGGCCGAGGAGGGCGAACCCTCGTTGCTCGCCTTGGAATTCCTCTCGCAGTGTTCCGTATACTCTGGGCTGTCTTGCCAGCTAGCTCCAAAACACTCGCCGTCGGTCTTGCAACAACCCCCATCAATCCCTTGGCCGCGCCTGCAAGAATTACAACGCAAAGAACAAAATATATAAAATAAAAAATACAACACACAGAAATCGTAACCGCTTTTCCATTTCACCGTTTACTAACATCCTCTGCTCTCCTTTATCCTTTGAAAAAGGAAAAGGAATTATCATGGATCTGAACGGCCCCGGGAGTTCCTCTCCCACGCACCCCTGGTACCGGCCCGGCAATGTCCTTGCCATTAATTTATTTTTCAATTAAATGGAGCCTCAGCTGTCCCTCCGGTAAAGGTACCTCCTGCTTCCTGCCCTCTCTCTCTCTCTCTCTCTCTCTCTCTCTCTCTCTCTCTCTCTCTCTCTCTCTCTCTCTCTCTCTCT